TCCCACTGCTCCAAACAACATGAATACACAGACAGTTATAGTCGGTAAGAATGGCAGTGCGCCACCTAACGACGAAGTAAAAGATTTAAGGCAGACTATTCAGACACTCAGGGCAGAAAACGCTGAACTCCGGCAGAAACTAAACGATCTCATAGATGAACTGAAGGCCCTGAGAACAGGACAAACCAATGCTAACCCCCAATCAGACTTAACGCTGACAGCCACCGTAGGGCGCCAGGAATTCGCAACTACCATGGCTGCCATAAAAATGCCCTAGCAAATCCTGGCAACCTCATCTCTAACATCCAAGATGAGGCGCGCAAGGATAGAGAACGTCTGGTGCAACTCACGGCTATGAAATTCAGAGGCAAACCCTACGCTCGACCATCACCTGAGTATGGCGAGCAGCCGTAAATGCTCGGTTAAGTTGGAAACCCTCGAAATATGGCAGTGGAACTGTCGTGGAATCCGTCGAAAGCAAGGTCTTCTGAATCAATACATCAATAAATGCACAACTCCACCAGACATCATCGCCCTCCAGGAAACCGGCTGCTCACCGAAACTCACTGGCTTTTCAGTTTATGAGGGTCTTGGCCAAAGTAAGGTCGCTACTTTGGTAGCCAAAGCAGTCACCGCTATTAGACATGACATCGATGCAACAGACATTGACCACGTTCTCATTGAAATCATAACGAAACAAAGAACCGACGAAAGCATATTTCTCCTCAATATCTACAGCCCACCAAGCCAGCGAAAAACCAACTTCAGCTCCCTTCTGCGCAAGGCAGAACAAGCAGCAGGCAAAAAGGGTCTTGTCATCCTTGGAGACTTTAATGCGTGGCACAAGAGATGGGGATATGTCAAGGAAACTCAGAAAGGCAGGGATTTGGCCAGAGAAGCTGATCGCAGAAGGCTAAGCCTCATTACAGACCACACTCAACCAACGCGAGTGGGGAATAGTATCAACCGAGATACGTGCCCGGACTTGGCGTTCATCAAAGGTGTCAGGGAGGCCCGATGGGAAAACGGCGGGGAAACGCTTGGCAGTGACCACTGCATTTTGCGCATCCAGATAGAAACTCTCCCGGTTAAGAAACGACATGGCCTGGCTCGACTTACAGACTGGGAAGCTTTTAGAAAAACTAGGGCAGAATTCGAGGATAAAGAAATTGCGGGCATTAAGAGTTGGGTCTCGGGAATCAAGGCATACTGGAAACGATTAACCCGAGAAGTTACCCTATCAACAAACACGCCCGAGGTGGACAAGCATCTCCTACACCTCTGGGACGCCCGCCGGGGCCTATTAAGAAGATGGAAGTGGCAGAAACACAACCGCAAACTGAGACTTAGGATCGCCGCAGTCACCAGGGAAGCCGAAGAGTATGCGACGGAGCTGTCAAGGCGCAACTGGGACCAAAAATGCAACGAGCTGCAAGGTACACTAGGTTGAAAAAGGACATGGGCCTTGCTGAGGGCCCTCATAGACCCAACCATGACCAAGACTGAAACCTGTAAAACGACTCAAAAGATTGCACACCAATTCAAAGCCACAGACCGGGAACTGCTAGAATACATAAAGCTGCGCTATATTGGCGATACAACGAATACTGACTGCAACCTGGCATACACTGGTGCAGCTAATCCCGTTATGGACGAACCCATTACCACAGAAGAAGTTCGACATGCTATGCTGTCGGCAACAAAGAACACTACGCCAGGAAAGGATGGCATCAGCAACGCTATGATACGGAACCTCGATGACAAATCTATCACAAGGTTTACAGAATTCATCAACAAACATTGGGAGAAGGGTACCGTTCCAAACGACTGGAAACATGCGGAAATAATAATGATTCCAAAGTCTGGAAAGGCTCTAAGCTTTGGAAAATTTAAGACCGATTTCGTTGACTTCGTGTTTGGGAAAAGTATACGAGAGAATCGTGCTTCATAGGCTAGAGACCTACCTGGAAGACAACGAACTCATGCCGCACACCATGTTTGGCTTCCGAAAATGCCTCTCAACACAGGACGTCCTGCTACAAATCAAGAAGGAGGTGCTTACCAATGTCCCAAAATATGGCGAAAACGTACTACTTGCACTGGATCTTAAGGCTGCTTTCGACAATGTCAGTCATAAGGCTGTGCTAGAGGGGCTTAGCAAATTAGGCTGTGGAAAGCGAATACACAACTACGTCAAAGCTTTTCTCAGTAACAGAACCGCTACAATCGGTATCGGAGGCATCCGCACTGATACGTTTGATGCGCCCACAAAAAGAACACCCCAAGGTTCTGTGATATCGCCGATGCTGTTCAACATCGTTATGATTGGCTTAGCTCGGAACCTCAAAAACATTGAAGGACTCAGACATGCCATCTACGCAGATGACGTTACAATCTGGGTGACAAGAGGATGTCTAGGCCAAAAACAAGATCTTCTGCAACGCGCAGCTGATACAGTTCACGACCACGTGCGTCAATGTGGCCTCGTCTGCTCTCCGGAGAAATCAGAAGTTCTGAGAGTCTACAGACGAGGATACGATCTGCAAAACTCCATAGACGTCTATATAGGGGGGAAGAAGATTCCAGAAGTGTCCCAAATCAAGATTCTCGGCATGTGGATACAAAGCAACTGTCGTATAGACCACACCATCAGACAGCTGTCAAACACTACAGCGCAAATCACGAGGATGATCACCAGAATCTCTAACAAAAGACGGGGTCTGAAGGAGGAGGACACTTGTAGGCTTGTACAGGCCCTCGTGGTCAGTAGGATTGTTTACAGTGTCCCCTACCAAACACCACTCCCACAGGAAAAAGAACAATTAGAGGCAATCCTCAGAAAAGCCTACAAGTGCGCCCTTGGTCTACCTGTCAGCACCTAGACAGAGAAATTCCTTAAACTCGGGATAAACAACACAGTGCAAAAACACATCGAGGCGCATCTTGTTGTGCAGAAAATGAGATTAATGTTGACTGCTACGGGCAGGCATACGCTGCAGACATTGGGCATGAGGGATGCTTGCGGAGAAATCAATAACACGGCGAGCATACCAAAGGACATTCGCCAGATCATTGAAGTCAGCCCAATACCTCAAAACATGCATCCAGAAATCCATAAGACTCGAAGAAAAGCCAGATCAGAAGCACAAGAAAAAAATTTCAAGGCGAGAACCGACGTATTGTACGTTGACGCGACCACATACAGAGAGCACTCCGGGACAGTTGTAAGCGTTGTTGATCACCAACTTAGGGAAGTCAGCAGCGCTTCGATCGAAAGCAACAACATCCTCGAGACTGAGGAAGTAGTGATCGCGCTCGCCATCACACACCAGAGCGAAGAGTCTACTACTGAAATAGTTACTGACTCGCAAGAAGCGTGTCGACGGAACAGCAGCGGACGCATATCCAGTGCTGCCATCCGCATACTCAAGGGAAGAAAAATCAACTTCTCGAGCTGCTCCATTACGTGGACACCAGGCCATGAAACTGTGACAGGGAACCAGCGTGCCGACGCCATTGCCCGAGAATACGCTGACCGGGGGGCGCACAACGACGAGGACCCAGTCACAGTTACAAGACGCTATGGAGCAATTTTAGAACACCAGAGAGCCCTGAGGAGGATTTACCCCCCTCCCCACAAAGACCTGAACAGAGAGCAGTCGGTTGCCTGGAGACAGCTGCAGACTAATACGTACCCCAATCTCAGTCTTCTGAGTGAAATCTATCCGGGAATATACACCAACAAATGCCCGCTATGCAGAGAACGCCCCACACTTTACCACGTAACATGGGCCTGCCAACACATACAGGTAGTGCCAAGAAACTGTGCACCAACACCGGAGCAGTGGGAGGCTGCGCTTTCCTGCTCTAAGCCTGAAGAACAGCTCAAGCTGATCGACAGAGCTTGCAAGATGGCAAAGGCCACAGGGGCCCTGGACTGAAGGCTCCACCTTCACCGGAAGAAAGCTATTTGTAATAAAGTTTTGCATTGATTTTGCATTCCGGCGTCCCTTCATCACGAAGGGAGGCAGGCGCAGTGCTGTCTGTGGTAACGTCATCGGCGCTAAATGCAGCATGTCGCATTTCGCGCCGTTTGCCACCGGGCCGCGCCGACGGACGCTGGTCGCGCCAGTCGCGCCGGTCACGCCTGGCGCCAGACTAAAAGGGCTAGCGTTTAGCTAGCGTAGCGTCGCTAGCCCAGCGTTCGCGCGTGTCAATGGAAATCCGTAGTATATATTGGGCCTTTCATGAAGCACTCGCGGCCGTTTCCCTATAGCTCCGCATATACCAAATTTGGGTTTACGTGACGTCAATGAATGACGAAGGTCAATGGATGACTGGTGCAAACATGATAATCATGACACGCTTGTCATGGAAGAACATGATAACATACCACACTCATAATGCACTCGCAGCCATTTCGCTAGCTCTACAAGTACCAAGTGTGGTGTCGTGGGACGTGAATCGACGACGAAGGTAAATTATACGTCCAAACATGATAATCACGATATGCGTGTGATGTAAAGCATCACTACATGCTACGCTCATAGCGTGTTCGCGGCCGTTTCACTAGTTCCACATGTACCATATTTGCTGTTACGTGACGTGAATGGACGACGAATTTAGATAACTGGTCTAAACATGATAATCATGATATGCGTGTCATGTAAAACATGACTACATGCTGCGCTCATAGCACGCTCGCAGCCGTTTTGCTAGCTAAACATATACCAAAGTTGGTATTAAGTGACGTGAATAGACGACGAAGGTAAATGACACGTCTAAACATGATAATCATGGCATGCATGTCATGTAAAACTTGAGGAAACATTGTGCTGATTTTAAGTGACATATTAACCGCCTTCATTCGTGCTTCGCATATCATTGATTCCCACTGTACGTGGGGTGTGCCAATTTTCTTGAGATGAGACTTTGTTGCAAGCCACCCACTTTTTCCGCACATAAAACGGACGAGTTTGGTGAAAGGAAATTTTTCTTACCTGTTATGATAATTTTTCCCGCACTGCTGCTCAAGTGACCTTCTCCGGTGAGTCTGTTGTGAACTTGGCAACGATAGGAGCGCTGAGAGTCAGTACTGTCGGCGTTCCGCAACATCAGTTCGCCACTGGGTAGCATGAAATACCGGCTGTCCAGACCTGTGCGAAAATTACACAGTAATTCATGAGCAGTGTCCTCACTATGGTCCAATCTATCAACACAGTGAAGCAAGGACCACTTTATTATTGGAGAGCTCAACTGTTAGGTTCCGAGCACCTCTGGTGATAGTTTTCTGCTCCATGGAGAAAAATTCCGTTTCATTGGCAGATCGGGAGTGCTCGCTTTATGTTTCATTGACAGATACGGGGCAGCTCCATCGCCAGGTCCGCTCCACGGAGCAGCTCTCTATACTCCGTGAAAAGTGGCATATTCAACCGAAAGTCACATGTGCACCGCACGTACCACGTGACCGATGAAACGCGCTGTTCAAGCACGGCCGTTCTTTCCACGCGGGCTCGGGCTTTGTAGGCGAACACTGCGCGAAACGCAAATAATTCCGTGTCTTTTCGGAAGCGGATGTAGGCTAGCACCCTCTTCAATTTGCCCTGATGGGAGCGCCTGTGTTCGATTGCCTTCCACCAAAGCAGAGTGCTCCGGTGCAGAGTTTGACGACTGACTATGATTTGCTTTGTACTCAATCCCATTGGCTTCCGGATCTGCCAATAGAATGCACCATATTCCAAGCATCAAATAGAACCACAGCACTTTTGTTTTAACCCCGAATCTGTTGAAGCACGAAATCGGACTGTTCTGTGTGCACAGAAATACCACGCCGAACAATGACGTCAGCACGCGCCGCCTAGCAACGGGTTGGAGAAAGAAGAAAAAGGGTAGAGGAGAATAGTGGAGAAGAGAAGAAGATATAAAGAAAAGAAAAAACATTTCTTGGTGAAGCGGTATTCGAACCGGCGCACACGTGGTACGCAGTAGAGCGTTGCAACCACTCGACTGGCCAACGATGTGCTTGCATCATATTGAGCAAGGGAGTGGAACTGGGTGACAGTAAGAAGCAAATAGAAAGAAAGACAAACATACGAAAATAACAACGAAAAGAGAGAGAAAGAGAGAAGAAAATTATAGCAGAGCTATATATGGTATACTGTAGCAAGGGGGTAGGAGAGGGCAGTGGCATTGAGGAGAAGTACAAGGATGATCGGAGAGGATAAAAATTAGCATAGTTGTGTATACTGAAGTGTAGCTGACGGGAGTTAAAGGGAGATGAGGGTTTGAAGAATTGATGTAAGAATGAGCAAAGAAAAGCACATGGTAAGGCCACAGGCTCTACGGTTTCCCCAATTTTCACACCAGTATAACGCATCTGCCCCACTTTTTTTCAATCACAAAGCGAAACGTTCTATCCTAACGTGTATCCAGTTTTGAGTTATATGTTCGGTAAGCATAGATTAAACAAGTCCACTTTGTGTCTTCTCCACCACCTCAGCAAATGAGGTTTGTGGTGTTGCAAATAGTCCATGGTACACATACATGCACTATTTCTTTCTCAAGTGGCAGTTGCCGAAATGAACGTGATACTTTATGCGTGCAGTGGTACCCATCAAACTGAAATAATGTTTATTGGTCATTTTTAAGGTGTCCTTGGTGAGTCTGGAATACTAGAAAAATTGAAGAGACGCACACATCCCTCGCCAATCTATAACAAAACACTTTTCATGCTTAATTCTGAGGTCAGTGTCTATGCTACACGTTACAATTCTCTTTCAACTGTGTTGTAGTCCTTGGCCTTATTTGTAATTTTGATGCCGTCTGCTTATCGTCAATTCTGACTACTCTGTGTGTGCATGCTCTTTTAAAGCATTAGTTTAGGTTGTTCTAATTAGGTATTGCTGAGCGTTTTCGCTTGCCTGGAAAATATTTTTACGCCCATAAATACAATTACAGGACAGAATACAGAAAAAGAAAAACGGCATACGCTCATGCGATATTACGTGCTTTGACACAATTTCTTTGTGAAGGACCCAAACTTTCCATACAACCACTTTTTTTTTCGAAAGAGAAGCGTGTCGCGTGAAGCAGACGTAGTAATATTCTTTGGCTAATTGTTTTTATTCCCATCAAAGCACTGATCCTAATGCATCTATCTCTCTTGACTTTCATTACGGAAACACTTCTCTTTGTGCTAGTGCAGACCCTCGAAGACGCTGAAATTCAGGTCAAACAGAGCACTTAACCGATTTGTGTCCCGAGTAAACGGACCCTTGATTGTTTTCGGAGCACGGCAAATGTGTTTAATAAAATTAATTGTTTTCTTTTTTCGAAGTATCACTAGGAGGTCGAAACTAAGTGTGTTCGCAACCAAACAAAAAAAAAAACAGAGAACAAAATGATGTCATTACGAAGCATGCTTACTGACGGGGATATTTAATGTCACTTGTGTTTGATTCGTACATATTTAGCCATCGTTTAAACATATCAATAGACAGTTATAGTATACCGGGCGTACCGTGATACCAGAACCGAAGTGCGCATGCGCAGATACCTACGTTACCCGTACCACTTACCGTACACACGGCATTTTTCACATTTAGGTTAGCGTGGTAGCGTAAGCGTACGAAATGTACGTAAACATGGCGGCACTCTCACACGCCTGCTTCGAAGTGATTTCGGCGTAGTTGTTGAAAGATTCACCTTGTTCGCCGCAAACGACTGTTCAAATTTGCTTCGCTTGCCTTCAGTTAGCTTTGATGGCCGATTATTACGGATAAGTTGGCGTAATTTTTGAGATAGCTTACCATTTCGTACGCGTCTAGGCCTAACTACAAGGTCGATGCAAACAAATCGGCAACATAATTTTTTTCGCGTTTGGTGCGTGCTTCTTATTTATTTGCTTTTATTAGTAGTAAAATAAACTTGTAACAATGCTTCGCGTGGTGGCATAGGCAAACATTCTTGTTTTCTTGTGCTTTTCACTGTCTTTACCTTAGCCCCGCCGCGGTGGTCTAGTGGCTAAGGTACTCGGCTGCTGACCCGCAGCTCGCGGGTTCAAATCCCGGCTGCGGCGGCTGCATTTCCGGCGGAAATGTTGTAGGCCCGTGTGCTCAGATTTGGGTGCACGTTAAAGAACCCCAGGTGGTCGAAATTTCCGGAGCCCTTCACTACGGCGTCTCTCATAACCAAATGGTGGTTTTGGGACGTTTAACCCCACATATCAATCAATCAATCAATCAATCAATCAATCAATCAATCAATCAATCAATCAATCAATCACTGTCTTTACCTTATTTACCATCTCATAGGCGGCGCCACCGTACTAGCTGGGGCACGTAAACCATTTAAACGCTATCCCGCTAAACTATAAGCCGCTGTCCACAAAGAACGTTTGCTGCACGGTAATGTCGTTCCCTTAACCTCCACTACCACGTCAACCGTAAACTATAATTGTGTAATAACGCACGGACGCGCTTGCGTTAGGTGTCGGTTAATGTTAAAGTATATTTATAAGAGGCGAACAGATTGCCAGCTTGAAATCATGAACAAGCTTGTAGGCTCCAGGACGCAGGGTACCCGTTCTCTGTGATGTTGGCTGTAGGCATCAAGATATTAAAGAAGCTCAGGGTGATAAAGAAGGATGACTGGTTCTAACTCCAAGGTGGTAGCGATACCTTATGTACATAGGCTTTCGCATAGAATAAAAAAGGTGGCCGGAAAGTATGATGTAAAAGTGGTGTTTTTGGCCAAAAACAAAATATGAGGAGTGTGCGCGTTGGTTAACCAGAAATGTGACAGAGTGACCAGCGTACATAAGGAATGCAGCATAAAAATGAGCTCAAATTTGTTGAATGTGCACACAATGTGGTGTATTGCATGCCTTTGTCGTGTGGTTGTGTATATATAGGGCAGACTGGCAGGTGCATTAACACTAGGCTAAGGGAGCATATGCCAAGTCTGAAAGGTCGCCCTAACACCGATTTGGCATTGCATTACAGTGCGTGCACGTGCTCTCCTTGTTTTCGCGACACTACCTCAGTATATGGGAATCGAAACAAGTCGTCAAGAGAGATAATGGAGGCTTATCATATAGACAAGCATAATGATTGATATGTGGGGTTTAACGTCCCAAAACCACCATATAATTATGAAAGACGCCGTAGTGGAGGGCTCCGGAAATTTAGACCACCTGGGGTTCTTTAACGTGCACCCAAATAGGAGCACACGGGCCTAAAACATTTGCGTCTCCATCGGAAATGCAGCCGCCGCAGCTGGGATTTGAACCCGCGACCTGCGGGTCAGCAGCCGAGTACCTTAGCCACTAGACCACCACGGCGGGGCTATAGACAAGCATAAAGGCAGTTGTGTTAGCCACCCATCAGTAGCCTTACTAGAGAAAGACAGAAATTTCGCTCGGGTCTGTTAATCAATGAACCTGCTATCGTTATTTGTGATATGTGCGCAGTGCATTTGTTTTTTGGTGACTAGAGAGCGCAGATCAGAGGGGTATAAAGTCAATGTTTTTTTTTGAAAAATAAACCAGTTGTTAGTTTGCGCCCTTTTGTCTTCCTTTCTGTGTCCCTGTGTGCTTGCGCAAAATTTTCAAGATGGACGTGTTCCAACTAGGCCGGATCGCACTTTTGCTTCAGATTTGCCTGAAGCGACGTACGGAAACGCCTTAATCGTTCAAATACATGAAATCAATATACTTTCGGTAAAGTTCTTTTCTAGATAATTAGAGGAGATTTGGTATAAACACTAATTATTCTGCAAACAGTTGCTTTGCACTCAATGCGTAATGAAGGTTTAGTGCAATAATAGCACAAATTGTGCACTTGCCGTCGTTTCCGAGTGTCCCAACTGTGACGCCATCGTCGAGCACCCACGACGACACCGTGACGTAATCCCTGACGGCGGGAGGCACGTGACAGCGGAGGAGGGCCGAATTGCCACGAACCACGTAGACGTCGTAAACGCTGGCCACAAACTTCTCAAGGACCACTGTGACAGAGGGAGAATAGACGATGACGGAAGAGGTAACGTTATTGAACAGGAGTATATTGATGGACACTTATAATATACATGTGCGATCTAAGACGTGGTAGGTGATACTGAATAAAAAAAAAAGAATATATGCTGGCTTTTTCAATAACGATTTTTGGGGTATCTTACCAGAAAAATATTTGCTACTGCATGGACACATGTATGAAAAAACGAACTAATGCACCTTTGACACGGTGTAAGAATAACTTACAGCAACACATCTTACAGCGACTAACAAGCAGTCTCTGTACGATATGTCGCTGCTGTGACAGATAGTCATGACAATAAATTGCACCTGAGCCCATATGTAGTGGTTCGGCAGCTTTCAACGACCCACAAACTAATAAACAGCTCACATGCTGTGACACCTGGAGCGATTATATTCTACGCTTCTATTTATTTATTTATTTATTTATTTATTTATTTATTTATTTATTTATTGAAAAATCCTTACAGGCCCTTTACAGGGCATTGAGTAAGGGGGGTAATTGGTGAAGTTTTACAGATCACACAAAATAATTCACAAAGCGTATCACAAATAATTCACAAAGCGTATCAGCACAATGAAAGTATGACGCGGATCGTAATATAAGTTGATGTTAACAGGCGATAACAAGAAAAAAGAAAAGGCGATTTCATAGTGCACACACGACAGTGGGAACTGAATACAGTCATTATAGCATATGAAGGCGACATCAACCAAAGATAGCGAGCTGGCTTTACCTCAACGACGTGCCGTTATTTGGTTATAAGTTGCAGAACATACAATAGAAAAAGCACCAAAAAACGCAGAACATATGCCCATATACAGAAAACATTTCCATTGTGCAACAAACATAATCGGGCACAAAATCCGACACGTGCAGAACAGTGGCAAGTCTATTGTGAGGAGAGAGCAAGCAGCAACTGACGGAAAGAATTATTGTCTGATACAGATGCGATGTTATCTGGAAGACCATTCCACAAACGTATGGCGCGAGGAAGAGCAGATGAGTTGAATGAATCAGTTGCCCCGTATAATCGCTTGAAACTGAAGTGATTATGCAACCTACGTGAAGTAATGGAAGGAACATCGAGGTGGAGTGGGAGGGGTCTGTTGGTGTACACGTATTTGTGAAAGAGGCAGTCATTACATTTGTTCATGTGAATTGATGCCAATCGGGATTGCACGTTTCTTAAATTAGTTTAAAAAACTGGCTTTGGTTCGAGATAGACTAATCGACTTTAGGGCAAAATACTTGCATTTGACTCCGCCTCGAAGTCTAAATATTGTGTCATTCTTATTTATGACACGTGAGTCTTTATTGCACGCCACATTTCTCTAGGTCAGCTACCGGTGTGGTGACTCATTATCAGGTCAGAAAGACGAGCCAAAGAATCGTGAATAAAATAAATCACATGATTTAGCTCCAAACGTGAGAACAAATTCGCACAGTTGTTAACGCTTTTGCCGAGGAACAGTTGGAGGCGACAGTGATGTTGTTCTTAATATTTGTCTTCGCAGTCGACTGTATTGATTATCCCGAAATCTCTCTGCACCTAACGCAGTTTTCTACTGTCCCTGAAACCAACCCTACTATGACCAGGTGGCGATGTCTTCTAATAACCTAATTGTGTGACGTCACATCACGACGATGTCCCTGCGAGGTCACAATTTTTTTCAATGTAAAACAGCGATATTTTATTTACAATACTTTTCCTTACTTTACGTAGACGAAGAGGTCACGAACAAGGACATTTAGCGTTAGGCGCACTACTTCCACCGTTTGCGCGCATCGAATATGCGGACCATGCCAGCATGTCTGACGTATGAAATACCCCCTGTTGGAAAAGAGCGAACATTATTCAAGAGATCGAATGCATTCGAGGAGTAAGACGTAGACTTTAAGGAACGGGGTCGGGGTGCTAAGAAAAATGACGTTCAAGGAGGAGAGAGAACAGTTAGCCTTCTAGTGGCATCGGTTTTCAGCTGGGAGTCTCAGCGCTGGGAAAGACGAAGTGGAGAAATAGATTTTCCGCTAGAACCGTGCTTCCGAGAGCAGCCAGGCGCGACTAAACGTTAAATTTCCGCCGTCTTTTCCATTTTCCTCCTTCATCCGCTCTGTCTTCCTTGCGAGACTGCCACGTGTAAAGAGCACGTTGATGGCTTTATTGGCTCCTCTGCAGGTTGAGTGGGTGTGACCCTATACGAAACGAGCGAAGAAAGAAAGACCAGCGCCGCGGAGGAAACGATTCAGCAAAAACTGGGTGATTACTGCTCCCGCTCTCGTTCTCAAATTGCCCTATTGGCTGTAAACCGGAAATCTATATAAGGCTTGATTCGATCAGGCGAGAAATGGGAAGGCGTCGTCGCGCGAAATAGATCGGAGAATATTAAGGGAAACGAACTTGTCTGTAATCGAAGGACATGAAAGCATTCCGTCACTCAAAGCCCGAGGTATATCCCCGAAGCGCTTTTTCTCCCTACCTTACGTTTGTATTTCCCCTTATTCCACCCCCAGTGTAGCGTAGCAAACCAAAAATTTTCTTCAGATTAACTTCCTAGCCTTTAACTAAGCATTATTCCTTCTCACTATTATTTCTTCCTTCTTGCCTATGACTTTGTCTAGTCTATTCAGGTACTGCGAGCGCGAGGAAGGCCAAGAGTATAGACCCGCTTGTTCTAAGCGGCTCCTTTACAAAGGGGCAGTTGACGTCTTCGGGTAAGGCCGTCTTTTATTCACCTAGGTCACGTGCTTGACTTGTTTTGGTATTTCAAATCCCCTTTGAAGAACACTGAATCAGTATGAAAACTGGCACACACAGAATTACTAACGTTATTAAACTTAGAGTAAGTACTCTGCACCTAAGCTGTGCGCTATCTCGTTTCTCGCCTTCTCTCTGCTTTTTTTATATACCCTTCTTCACAACGCATGATGTGGTAGCAATTAGTGATGGAGAAGTCTGGTCATCCTACCGGCTTTTTTTTTTAATTCTCGGCTTCCCGTACAATTACCAGACTGCGATGAATCAAGCCATGCATTGTGTCACAAATTTATTCGGACCTTGACTTCTATCCGCATCACAATACTAATACCTATGGTAATCATTGCCGACACTAAACGTGGCAGGTGCTGAGACAATGCATACACTCACCATATTTAAAAAAAAAACTATGAACACACTTTCTGAAATGAACCATACATTGCATCTAGCAGCGCACGATGCGATCGCCAATGCAGAGTAAATATGCTCCATTTCATCCAGTATAAAACAAGAGTATAGAAAGTTGCGTCGTCTTCAGCTGGGTACAATTAAAAGAAATGCTCGTTTACACGAACTTACAGATCACATTAAGCCATAATATTAGCCTCCATTTGGTCTATTTGGCTGCCTCGTCCCTCTACAGCAATGTCAGAAGATATGCTCCAGTTCATAATTTCATATTCTCCCGTCCAGTCACTACTGTATCATCAAGACAAAAAGTACTGTTCTCCCTTACCACTCTCGTTTATATTTTACTTTGTTTTCAATTTCAGGCATGTTGGAGCCCTTCCTGGTGGAAATAAGTATCTTCTTCACAGGCATTTCCTCCGTGTGCATTACAAGCGCTGGCCTACAGCCCTGCTGACCCTATTCCAAAAGGAACCTAGTAGCCGATGCGCCCAAAGTGCACCCTGAGGCGCTGTCAGTGGAGAGGGCGCACCTTCTGTTTGGTCGCGATAAGAAAACAAGCATTTGCAAAGAGCCGCCAAAGCCGCTTTAAATCCTGTATGTCGTAACGCTTCCCTTAACATCCGCTGGCTTTTCGCTTGAGCTGGCCGTTTTATTTGCCTGTGTATGCAATTGCAAAGCGCTTTCCACCTTTCAACTCTCATTATTTCCAGTTATACGTAGAACACGTGCCCGACCTAGCTGCTAGAGCTTTATGCCGTCTCCGGCGTAAACACACTCGCCGGGTTACTGGCACGATGTGCGCGATTTCTTCGTCACAGCCAAGGCTAGAATTTGAATGCCTGTTTGACAGTGTTTTATAGCGTTAAATACGCATAGTTAGTCGTCCCTCAACAGATAATATGAATTTTCACTCTGCTAGCTTTTTATTCACGTAACGTGAGGATCCGTTGCGCTCTTGATTGGTCGATATACAAAAGATATATGTCATGAGTTGTCTTCTGTCCTTAATCTACTAATCGCATGCCAGTTCTGCCGTGTCTCGTCTGAGCATCGTGCGTGATCAACTGAATTTATTTACTTTTCTGCTTTTGCAACAGCACAAGCAGAGATGGCACGTGTATACAGTCATAAGGCGCGAAATTCTGACTGGCTCAACGTTCAGTGCTGATCAACATTAGGAGTGCTTTATGGAGAGATACGTGGAGAGAAGATAGCGCATGTAGCGAAGGTGAAAAAAAAACAAAACAAAAACGACAGTCTCACCTTCGAACAAGGTTTGGGGGAGAAGCCCTTTGAAGGGCTGCTCACCACCTCGCGTTTAGAGACGAGAGGGTGATTTTCTCCTCTCCTTCATACACACGATGCATCCTCCTCGCCCCTCAAGTCTTGAATGCACGTGAACAAAGAGCACTAAGCGCTAGAGCCTATCAGGATTTAGCGCTTCTCGGCTGCACGCTGTTATCGCCACTTGCGCAGTTGTAAACACAAAAAATAAAGTTTGATCAGTTGATTGTGCACAATATTCATGCGAGACAAAGAAGAAAGGATGGGCGGCTGCATGGCGAAGCAGCGCAGGAGACAAATCACACGTGATATTTTGCGTACATCAACGAATAGAAAGCATGTACGCTGTACACGTCACGGAAACTACTGTCTACGTCACAGTAGTGCGCCAAGAAGGACGAAAAATATCAGGAAAGAATATTGCTCTCATTTTTTGTATTTTGGTAGCCTGGTGAGTGGCCCTATATAATGATCTGTTCACGGTGTTCTGTGAGGCACTGTTGGGCTCGCCTACTGAA